TGCAATAGCCTCCTCTGTGGTGCCCCTGGTGGAATGAAGACCAGTGGTATTTAGCCCAGGGCTCAACAAATCCCAGGCGCCAGGTCGACCATGGTGACTGGAAATTGCATCTTGGTGCCTGGGCTTTAGATCCCAGCAAACTGACTTCCAGGACTTGTTCACATCTGTGTATTAGAAAAAGCTTGTAATGCGTTGCGTTAGTGTAGCATTTATGTGTGGGATAAGTCTACAATGTAGTTTACACACCAAACTCCACTATTCTACACATTCCATATTCACAAAAAAACAAGTCAAAGGCCAAGGAACTGTATAGTTTTTAAAAGGTGGTCACCATAAAAGTGTACAAGGAATGGAGATAAGACACTTATCAAAAGGGCTACCATGTTTAGGGCTTACTACTGTAGAAAAGTAGATCTGAGACCTACTATTACTGGAGATGAGCAAGTGCTCTGGGCATACATATTACTAAACAAAGGAGACTTGGAAAAAGTTCATATATTGTAGAAGAAAAAAAGGGAGTGGGGCTTGTGTTACTGGAAACAAGAAGGGTCTCTGGGTAAACATATTACCAGCAACAAGGACAGTTTCAGGGTTAAATATGACCAGGGATTAGGAGGGTATTGGAGGGCCCATATTACAGGGAAAAGGAAGGTCTGCATGGTCACATACTATTAACAAAAAGCAAGGGAGGAAAGGGAAGGCAGGGCCCCGCACACAGGTTACTGGTCCAGGCATCTGGTGGTACTTGCTTTGAAGTAGAACTGTTAAGAGTTTAAACTACAGATTTGCTTCAAATCAGTTTTGCAAGGGAAAAGGGGCTAAAATTCATCCACAGCAATGAGAGCTTATTTTTGCAGCAAGTTTATTTTGTAAGTAGCATACCCTTTGGCGGGTCTTTTGTAAGTTTGTGCGCAGAATCTTGCGTATTTCCTCCTCTTTCACCTTGGACAATGCTGGAAGGATTCTGTCTGGCTTAGGTTTAGGATGAATATTCCTGCAGGACAAAAAAAACAAAAAAAACCTGTGAGTGTCTTTACACTCATTTGCTCCTTAAGCTCAATCAGTCAATGACCACGTGAAGTCGCGGCTGAAGTCTGGGAAGTTGAGCTCTAAGTAACAAAAGTGAAACAAAAACCAGAAGAAGGTTTTCACAGTAACAATAGTAAACGCACGAACCTTGGGTTGCCCGTTCATAGGCAGGACTGTTAGGTGATTACCATGATTGAAATATTCCCTTTAAGGTCTAACTTAACATCACAGTGCAGAGAGAAATGTCTTGGAGTCTACTGCAACTAATTCCAAAATGATGTTTCATGTCCTAAATGTAGATGACCTCCCCTAGTGAGGTCGTCTTACCATGACAGGGAGGTTTACACAAGTACCCATGGTGGTGGGTGCATAAGCTCCTTCTACAGCCATCAAGCTCAAACAGGTCAAAAGGTAAAGCTAAAGTAGTATTTCACAACGTAAGGTGGCCTTAAAGAGCCATGATGTAAACCCCTCTAAAAGAGTAAACCTTTACAGAAAATCGTAAGATATCCAATAAAAAGGGGAGTTCACCATAAAGCTGACAGCCCTACTAATCTTTTGAAACCTAGGACAGACTAAGATATGGATTAAACACTTGCAAGGTTATTAACAAAAGGGTGAAGAGTTTGGAGAAGGGAGGAGAAGTGAACAATCTAGGACAACATAGCCGATTTGAAAAGATTCTCCAATTCAGCTCACTTTCCAGTTCAGCTACATTGTCCTAGATTGTTCACTTGTCCTGCCTTCTCCAAACTCTTCACCCTTTTGTGAATAACCCTGTTGGAAAACGAACACGCAAAGGAAATTAACAAAATTGAAATTTTCCTCACAGGACATGAGAAATTTGTATTACTGAGGAACCCAAACTAAAAACTTAAGATATTATTGTTCAGTACAAAGCAGGTATATTGGCTATCCAGGAAATTAGATGAATTTGTAAAGAAGACACCCACTATACTTTAGAGTTGTGATCCATAAGAGAATATATCTTTGGAGATGGATTTCTGAATGATAATGGGAAGCATTCGGTCATCAGATTTGACCCACTTTCCCTTATTTACCACGTGGATAAGCAGTATACCTTATAATTATGCTTAGTAATATGCAAGTTCATACTAAAAACAAGCCATTAGAGGAAAAGAAACCTTTGTATTACATTTTGGAGAAGAGTTATATAAAAATACTACATTTACACTCTGCTTTCAAAAGACAAAGACATTATTTAGTAAGTCCAAAATTTTGAACACTAGATTATATAATTCTATTATTTTAAAACACAGTTAAAACCATACACAGAAAAGGGAATAGGGAAATCCCAAGCAGGCTTTACAGCGGGAAAGTTGGTGGATTATATATATTCTTCGAAGCAAATATTTGAATAGAATCGAAAATAAACTGGTCATTGAATTTACTGCAGGATATGGTTGTACCCCAAGAACATTGCAGTATATACTGTAGATAGAAGAGACATGATCATACTGGAAAAGGTCATGAGGAGAGATAAAATAAAAATCATGGTAGGTATAGCAGAACAGATACACATCCACCTGTTGTTAAGGGCAATGAATATCATTAAGCACTGAGGTGGGGTGATGCACTGCCATGTATTGTCTATACAAGAAAACCAGCCGTGTCTGGCTGTTGCATTGAGGCTGATTAACTAGAGGAGCTGAGACTTCACACTATACATTGTGATTATTTCCTTGAATTATTCGATCATGTAAAAAAGATCATTCCTGTTTACGTATTCCATCTGCACTTGACTTTATAATAAGTGAATATTCACACAATTTTTACCTACATTATTAAATCAGCACAACTGTCTTGAATGCTTCAATACCTTGAGTTACTAAACCAAACAAACATGCAGATCAGGGATCATGTTTGTTTTGGGTCTGTAACACAATGTATTTAGGGACAAAGACAATTAGGCAAACAGCATTTTCAGAATTCAGCAATGGCAGCTTCCATATTTGTCTCAACACAGGCTTTTGTGCTAGTGGTGCTATAGAAGGTTATCTAAGAGTCAGGCATACATACCACAGGCCACACCTTTATCAAGCCAGGCCAGATACTGATGTATGCTGATGATATAAACATGTTACAAGAACTAAAGATGCAGTTATCCAAACTTTGCTAGGGTGGGAAAACAAAGTAACTATATGCTTATAGAAGTGACAGAAAAGCAAAGCCAAAATATCTTACGCTCTGAAGGCAACCCCATGTACCCCAATACAAAGGTAGATGTTGATATGGCAAGAGAAAACCTTTCAAACCCATCATTTGTCAAAATCTGTAATACATTGTTATATAACCAGTTTTCATGTATGGAGCTGAATGTTAGACTCTGTCACAAGCAAATAATTTAATTGAAGTATTAAGGTTTTTTTTAGAATAAATGGAGTACCTAAAAATTCAGTGTGGAGGCAACAAACGTTATATGGTGCTCATCTAAAAACAGGCTGGTTATATTAAATGGATGTTTGAAGATCAAATAGCAAGGAGGCCCCAGGAAGCAAGGTGAAAAAATACACATGACCCGGAGCAAAATGTCAGGATGAAAACAGTAAGGATGCAAGGAAAATCAGAATCAAAAGTTGGTGGGCTGTGGTTAAGGACAGAAAAGAACGAGGGAAGCTCCTGCAGGAAGCCTGGACTATTGATGGGTTATTGCCCTGCTACTGATGAAATGTTAATGAAATCTTAAAAACAAATGTGTGGTTTCTTTGGTTTACTGAACACTGATTTTAGAATTGCATCATTAAATAAACCTTCATGGTGAAAACAACTTTCACATCCATTTAGAATAATGCTCTGCAGAATACGGTTGATAATTAGTGTTCGGTAAGTGGTCGCCGGAATTTTAAACTGCTTTCATCACATCTAAAGCACAGCAGATACAACTATTATACATGGTAAAACACTAGGATAATGAAGCTACTATATTTAACATGTGTAGACAACAAGCAAAACAGTTTTTAGTTGGGATGCACCGATACCGATACCAGTTCCAATACTGGGCATTTTCATGATTACATGTACACCTGAAAATGCCCCAATACCCAAAACCGACACCAGCATTTTAAATTGATGTGGCTACTATAAGGTCCCATGCTTGTTGGGGACCTTGCGGCAGCCTTCTTGGGGACCTTGCAGTGCCTGTTTACATCACCATCTGCACATCTCCACCTGCTCAGACCTTCCGCACCCCTCCTGAGACCCTCAGCCCAAGATATCAGGCTGGCACCCCAGAGCGGCAGCACAGAGTATGCACATACTATTATTCTGTATTTCAGTGTAATGTATTGCTGGGATTTGTAGCCCTCTATAGCCGATGCCATTCTGCATTGCTGTATAATGTATTGCTGAGATTTGTGCTCCTCTATAGCTAGTGGTATTCTGCATTGCTGTATAATGTAAATGCTGAAATTTGTAGTTCCTCTACAGCTTGGAGTCAATGGCAGAGCTACCAGGATAACAGTGGCCACAGCTGTGACTGGGCCCTGGCACTCCACCACTGTCCTAAAATCATTAGTCTGTATTGTATTAGAAAAAAAACAGTCACATGACAGCTTGACATGACAGGAAAAAAAAAAGGTATTGGTAATTGGTATCGGCGAGTACTGAGGAAAAGTATCTGTACTCGGTCTGGAAAAAATGGTATCGTGCATCCGTAGTTTTTAGTATACCTTTGCCCTGTTGATGCACACAACTGTTATTAATTCTCACTGCAAGTAAAACTTCCTAAAGCTATGGTAAGGAACTTGTTGGGTTTTCAATACTGACTGAGTGTCTATTGTTTTATATATTTATTACAGGTATTTATATAGCGCCGACAATTTACTCAGTGCACACTCACATCAGTCTCTGCCCTCGAGGAGCTTACAATTTAAGGTCTCTATCTCACATGCATATGAGGGCCAATTTAGACAGGAGCCAATTAACCATGTCTGAGTGTGGGATGAAACGGGAGTACCCGAAGGAAACACACGCAAGCACAGGGAGAACATGCAATAGTGACCTGGCCGGGATTCAAAGAGACCCCTAGTGCTGCAAAGCAGAAGTGCTAAACACTACGCCACTGTGCTGCCCCATTAGGGATATTTCCCTGTCGAAGAGAGAGGTCACTGGAGCAGGAAGTGAGGGAAACCCTTCCCAACAGTGGTACAGACTGCAAAATAAAACTGAACAGCACAAACCATAACAAAAAAAAAAAAAGTCTTAACTGGAGCTGTACTTGAACATCATATGCTTTAAATGATGTGCGATTATACTTACTGCATGGATACAGTAGAAACAGCGGACGGGATTTTACCAATGCCCCCGCTCTCTACCAATTCGATTGCCTGCTTCATCTCCATTTTGTGATAAAAGGCGATGAGCTGAGGCTCTGTGGACCTTTCCCCTGCAATAAGGCACTTCTTCAAATAAGTTTTGTTAAAACGATTCAGCCTATGTAGTATAGAAAATAAAAGCATATTATAATCTTAGACTCTTGAGCAATATATTTAACAGATTTCATTTTACATGCATAGTTTTATGGACAAATAACCGCAATCAGATTTCTGCTTCTATGGTGCCTTCAGAACCCCCATTTAAACCCCCCCCATTTCAAAACAAAACACTTTCCTGATCAGGAATAGGGTTAGGCATTCTCTCTATGTAGAGGTTTAAAGAGTCATATATGAAAAGTCAGTGTACATAAATATTTTATTTAAATTACATGCCATTATGCCATATAATGACAACATATGCACATATTGTTCATATTCTGTCTTGCTTTAATCAAAACATTAAAAACTGTGTATAACTGTCAAAGGTCTATTCACTAAAGGGTGAAGAGAGTTTGGAGTAGGCAGAAGAGGTGAACAATCTAGGCCAAAATAATCTATTTGGAAAATGTATCCATTTCAGCTCACTTTTCAGTTAACTACGTTTGCCAACTTCTCCTGTCTTCTCCAAACTCATCACCCTTTACTGAAAAGCCCTGTCCGTAACACATTCAATCCTCCCAGCCCAATCAGCCGCAGCCTGAGAATCCCATGGACCTTTTTTCCCCTGACTGGACCAGGAGGGGCATGGGTCACTGACCGTTTTGCACAGGCTTGGGCAAACTCTGTTCACACCAAGCCCAAGCACATCACTAATTGACTATTTCTTTAATTTTACTGAATTATAAATTATACAATTACATTTTGTTATGCAGGATACTTTTAAAGTACTATAACTCATTTGGTAATGTGGCGTTGGTTTATAAACTATCTGAAGCATATCTGAATATCATTTTGTATAGGAATTTAGGGGGTTATTCACAAAAGGGTGAAGAGTTTGGAGAAGGCAGGAGAAGTGAACAATCTAGGACAAAATAGCGGTTTTGGAAAGATTCTCCAATTCAACTCACTTTCCAGTTCAACTATGTTGTCCTAGATTGTTCACTTCTCCTGCCTTCTCCAAACTCTTCACCCTTTTGTGAATAACCTTGTTAATCTTAGTATTGTGCAAGCAAACTTATATAGGTGAATAGCAATGCCATATATAACAAATGTTACCTTGCAACTGGCCTCCACTAGTGAAAAGCTAAAATAACCACTACATTGTTAGGGAAAGAAAACCCCAAAGATAGAGGAACATTGGTGAAGCTATGAATTTGAAGGACAACTGTGAAACTAAAAACTAAATAGTTTTCCCATGAATTTGGACATAAATCAATTCAAATGTATAAATAAGACGACGACTGGGCAAAGATGTCAATGCCAGCGAGGCAGCTTACAGACGCTGCATTCAACGGAAACATCAACAATTTTACGTTTCAGTGCTTTAAGATAATTGCGATCCATTAGAATTCTAATTCAAAACCTTCTGTCAATTTCCATACACAGTACATTAAGTGTTTTGCAGGACTTACTTGTCTTTCCAATGATGATGGCCATAGTGACCACATATGTCCTCAATTCCAGTTAAAAGATGATCGAGGAACTAAAAGAAAAAACAGCATTAGTCTTACTTGAATTTTGCATATGATCAGGGTCATTTCCACAGAAATGTATAATACTGCTGGATTTGCAATATGAAATAAAAGCTATTATGAGAACAATGTGCCACTGAGCTAAAATGTTTTCTGAGTCAACCCAGATCAAGCATGCAGCAAGCAAAGTCAGAAATCCTGTTCTACAGGCTTCCTTTAACATTAATTTGTACAATGAGCTGGACAGTGATCACTAGCAATATTTCTGAAGCTGTTCTGCAATTAGTCACTGTGACCAGTTGACATCAAATGTCTTAATAAGTAAAGCAGTGCAAACAGCCTTCTCAGAGATACCAGTCAGGACTGATCTTACAGCCTCACCGAGTCGTTTAACTATGGCAAACTTTACAAAGTGTGCTGGAAACCCAATAGCAAATTGTTAGCACTTTAGAAGAAGACCAGGCTAAAAGTAGATAAGCTTATAAAATGGAACACTAGTTGTATGGCCCAATTCCAGTCACAAGTAGGAAGTTTTAAAAGGTCTGTCAGCTTCATATTGCTCTATGTAACTCAACTAGGATAATTCCCAAAAGGCAGCAATAAAAGTATTTTTGTTATAATACATCTGTCTGCACTGGAAAGATTTCCCATCAGACCCTGGCACATGAACCCGTCATTGAGTCAAGTGAAGGAAAATCTCAACCAACTGGGACACCTACAAAAATGAAGGCCTGATAGAGGTTCTGATGCTTACTTACTCAATGTTTTGATTGGTGTTTAAGGGGTGATTTGCCAAGAAGACCAGCTAGTTCTTATGAAATAACAGATTTAAAAAAAACCAAAAAACTAAGGGCCTATTCATACCAGCAAGCCACGTTAAAAGCATAGTGGCAGAAACGGTGCTGATGCATTTTTAGGTAAAACGTTACTGAAATGCCATGGGTGACATTTCATTCAGTTCTAACAGCCACAGCATGGTGCAATGCAGTTGTACCATTTCACACCATGCTGCACTGAGGGGGGGGGGGGGGAAAAAAGTACTGCATAAAGTACTTTCCAGTGTAGCGCAGCTCAATAAGCCTGGTCTTTGTGTTGGGACAAGGCTTCTAAGCCAGCACCAATGCATCTGGTGTGAACAAGACCTAAAAGCAAAACTGTTTCTTCTGGATTATGTTATTTACACAATAGTGTTTATTTAGATTATACTTATTTAGCAACCAGATTCTAGCTGTCATACGTCAAGGATAAAAATCTAATTGGCTGCGGACAACATTATTGTTAGCTCCAGGTTTATAAAACAGCGTATTTGTATATTTAAATCCCCGTGCAAGAGTACACTGAGAAATCCCTAAGCTGAAAACACTGCCTGGGTGTTGACATTGGGTAGTAAACACATTGAGCAATGCAGCACATTGTTTATTATATTCTCTACTGTATAAAAGAGGAAGTATTTAGCGTGACAACATCCAGTTGTGTCTCAAAATAGTACCATCGTTCTATACTGTTAAAGAGGAAACAATATGTTCCTTTATCACTGCGCTACCAGAGTTTTATTAAATTTTTTTTACATACATGCTAAAAAGGGCATTTGTGGCTTACAATTTACTTAACACACCCAAACAATGATATATTTTATAAAAGCAGAGAAATGGAAAAAAATGATAGCTGTAAGTTTTTAAATCACTCCTTATCAAGCCTATATTTTCAGTAAAAAAAATAATTTTAATGCACACAAAACACTCATATTTTTTGTATACTATAAAAGATTAGACTGTGCTGCATAAAAGGATATAAAAAAATGTCATGAATAAAAAAATGTGTGTACCCGTGAAACTACAACAAGCTACAATACCCAATGTCGTCCATGGGCGACTCTTTAAAAACCTTTATAGCTCATCAGTGTAGTGTTAACCCTAAACAATGGCCCTGGAATAATTCTCTCACTTTTGAGTGTTCAGCAAGACCCTTAGTGTTATGCCAAGCTTACCTCTACAAATAAAGCTATGAACCACCAGCAGCTTGATTTTAAAACATGCTCAGAAAGTAAATATCTTGAATTACTGCAGAGTTAACATGGAAGTCATTTTTTTTAAAACTCACGTTTTTCAAAACCATTCTTACAGGTTTATGCTACAGCGAAAAATACAGAGATTTGTATATCAGCCACTAGAGGGAGCTCTCCATGGCTGATTGCAATTACTGCCTCTTCCATAAAGGTAATCTATCATGACAGAATAAATCAAGGCTACCATACGGAACTCTCCCTTTGAGAATGCTAGTTCCCTGGCTGTCATTGATGTTTTTGCTTCAGTGCTGCCGTTGCTGACTCTGACCAGGTATAGAGAGAGAAGGGAAGTTTGACACTCATTTACAGAATGCTTGTTCTGGGTCTAAGTCCGAGTCTTAAAAGGTACTCATTGAGGAAGGAGGAACCAGCAAAATACTATACATTCCCTATGAACACATTTTAGCCATGCATTCTGGACCTGCTGATATTCTTAGCTAAATGTGTGACCACAACAAATCAGGCATAACTGTTTTTTTAACATGTGACTGAGCATTCTTGGTTATTTTCAGACATTCTGTACATATTGTCAAATTAACCAACCAAAAGGCAGAAATAGCTGGTAGTACTTGTGTGCATGAAAGCCAAGGGAAAGTAGTATAAGACATGAGCCCACCAATAAGAATAGACGCCAGCAGCATTTATGCGGTCATCAGTTTCACACAAATCGGTGTTTGAATTCCTTTCAGATGATGTCCAAAGGACAGTTTGTACACCATTTGTCGGCAGAGTAAAAACTCTCCATTGGAATAAATGGAGACTGCGGAACACACAAACAGGAAGGGAGGACACCATGGTCAGGATTTTAAAGATGTGGCTGTGTGTCACTGAAAGGCTGTACAGCGAAGTCTTAGCGGACTGGGGGTAGGTTACAAGTGTGACTTTTCAGGGGAATGAAGGATGGCATCAGAGCCCAATACGTATAACTGTGCTTAATGTGGAATTACGTTTTAATAGTAAAAAGTATTTTTTTTTTTTTTTTTTTTATTATGTCATTACTCTATAATGTGACATGACCGTAATTTACTCATGCATAGTTGTAAAGTTACTGGCAGGTTGGATTTGAAGGCACTTAAATGACAATCCTAATATATACTGTTGCAAATGTTTATTTCCTTAAACATGCACTTCATTTTCATACTACAAGGATATCTGTCATTTAATTACCTGCGTGTGTATTTCTTCATTTATTGAGCGCTTAGTTTCCTGTTTCTTCTTTACAGCTAAAAGTTCCACCAGAGGACGAATAGTCATTCCCTTTCAGTGACAGAAGTTAGCATTAGGGTTATGATACATATAAAGCATGGCTATTCAGCAAACATACTGTAACTTCTATCAGATGTACAAGTAAAATGTGTGCAGAGCTTACTTGCCGTTTAGTTGCTCACACTCATATATTATCTTTTCAAACGTCAAACTCTTACTCAGTATTTTATATTACGTGAGGTTATCCTGAAAGTATAATTTAGCTCAAAGTGCAACTGTGCAGCCATTGCTAACTATTAGATGAAAGAGAAACTGGATGTACTTTCTGCTTCAAACAAGTTATGAGTCTCCGAAAGTGGCTGTGCTAATACGATCCTGTGGTTGATCAGCAGTAATTTAGTGCCACATTCTTCAAACACTGCAGGGTGTGGACAGCATAATTATTCCTCACATGATACATTTCCTGAATCATGGCAAAGGGGATCTAGACTACTTACTGCACAAAAAGATAGCCAGAACTTCTGGCCATCAAGAGCAGGCCACAGGAGGTGGCATAGTTTAGACAAAGTTGTAGCTGTAAGAATACATACACCACAAAATCCTCAAATTTGGATCCTGAGGCAAGGATCTAGCCCTCCTGGTAACTTCATAGTTTACTATGGTATCATAATGAATAAAAAAAAAAAAAGCATCAGATATATGTGTGTAATGTAATTTCCTTCCTACAGAATACATGTACGCAAGACCCCTTAGATTGCTACAACTGTAACAGATTGCATGGACCACACCAACATTGGTAGGCAGGTTTACCGTTTGTCAACTGTCTGACTCCATGTAGTGAAAGACAAAGGCAACGAAGTGTTAGGTGTATTTTGTTAAATACATTTTGTTCAGAATTTTTACAAAATTAAAAAAAGAGACAATTTGTGCGTCATAGACACAAAAACTAAATGACAAAAATGAATCTACTACAAACAATGGTCTGTGCATGTGTGAAAAACTTCCCAAAAGTAATTTGTAACTCATACAAAGTGACATGGCTAAACAAATGTGCGGTTATTGTGAAACACTGTTTCAGACCCTCTACACATTGATCTTTGCTTAACTGAATAGTCCAATGTAATAGCATACTAAACAGGATATCAAAACCCCTGTAGAAAAGTTCCTTTACTTACCTGCACAAACACTGTGAAGAATATTACTGTAATTATTGCAGTGAGGAACATCTCTCTGTTACGGCTATGTAATAAATATCCCAGGGAGAAAGCAATGGCTCCACGCAAGCCTCCATATGCAATAATGAATTGGTCTTTGGGTGTCAGCTTCACTATGCGGAATTTGTTGATAAAAAAAGTTAATCCAAGAACACCTAAGAAAGGGACATAAAAATTAACATTTACCACATTTCACAAAAAATTCCTGATTAGTGTTTAGCATAACTGTCCAAAACTGTAATAAAATACTGGTACAACATATGGTCAGCCAAGGACATAAATATCATAATGGTCCTTTACCAATGCCAGCATACAGTACATGATAAAAAAGCCCCAAACAAACCAAACATGGCAAAACAGATGTAGTAACTCCCCATTCACACATGAAAATGAGTTTCACTAACTGTTCCATGAGACTTATGTGATCAGCTGTGGGAGGCGCTGAACAATACAATGACAACTGCCAGCACCCAAAACCATTCGCATGTTATCACACATGCTGCAGTTACTTGCAGATGAACGGCAGCGGGCACTGGCAGCTGTCATTGCATTATGCCGCACGGCCCGCCTGCAGAAATTCGCAGCATGTACGATTACATGTGAATGGCTGTGGGCGCTGACAGCACTCATTGCATTACACAGTACGGCCCGCCTGCAGATAATCGCAACATGTATGGTTATATATGAACGCCCGTGGGTGCTGACAGCTGTCATTGCATTATACAGCACCACCCGCAGCTAATTGAATGAGTCTCATGGATCAATTTGTGAGACTCATGCGATTGGCCCCAAGGCCAATCGTGAATGGGGCTATAATATACTCACTGCTCTGACGATCTGTGCAGTCAGGAGGCTGCCTGGATAGTTAGAGCAGTGAGTATATTTACTTTTTATGTTTTGCAACATCTATCTGCCAAAAGCAATCAGCATCAGTCAATGGGATTATTATTTACAGCACATCTGTGCATTACACAGTACGGCCCGCCTGCAGAAATTCGCAGCATGTACGATTACATGTGAATGGCTGTGGGCGCTGACAGCACTCATTGCATTACACAGTACGGCCCGCCTGCAGATAATCGCAACATGTATGGTTATATATGAACGCCCGTGGGTGCTGACAGCTGTCATTGCATTATACAGCACCACCCGCAGCTAATTGAATGAGTCTCATGGATCAATTTGTGAGACTCATGCGATTGGCCCCAAGGCCAATCGTGAATGGGGCTATAATATACTCACTGCTCTGACGATCTGTGCAGTCAGGAGGCTGCCTGGATAGTTAGAGCAGTGAGTATATTTACTTTTTATGTTTTGCAACATCTATCTGCCAAAAGCAATCAGCATCAGTCAATGGGATTATTATTTACAGCACATCTGTGACTAATGTATCTATTTGCAACATTAATACTGAGGTTATTGGAATTGACAAGACTAATAATAATATATTTGTGCTCATTTCATCTGCAAGTGTGAGCTTTGTGTTGATTTATGTTATTTAGCAGATTTATGTTCTTAAAAACATTCAGGGCTAGTTCACACCAACCACAGTGCGCTCTGGCTCGATTATGGATGGAACACACTGGATCGCATTGCGGCCGGCTCATTTTATTGTGGGGCGGAAGGGGGGAGTGGCGGTGCATTGACCTCAATAGCATCGTAGCCACGCTCTCTGGCCGCAATGCGATGGGCCGCACGGGAAGGTAAGGCACATAAATTCCTGCGGTCTGGTCAGAAAAAATGCTCCAAGAACTATTTTTTCTGACCGGACGGCAGGCGTTGATGCCCACGTGTTCTCGTGCGGCTGATCGCATTGCGGCCAGAGGGCGTGGCTACGGTGCCATTGAGTTCAATGCACCGCCAAGCTCCCTCCCGCCCCACAACAAAGTGAGCCGCCCTAAATGTGATCCAGTGCGTTCCGGCCAAAATCGGGCCGGAAAGCACTGTGGCTGGTGTGAACTAGCCCTCAAACCAGAAGAGAGACTATCCCAAAAACTTTAGATTTTGCCCCATTTTCCCAACAGCAAGTTAACTCAAAATGAATGTAGATGCTGTTTTACCAGACAAATAGCTATTGAATTTTTTTTTTTATAATAAATGAACAGGTTGAATGGTTTACAGGTAAATTACAGTACCTCTCCGGATTCCAGCTGAATCACATACTTGAATCAGCATTGTTGTACCATGACAGAAGTAGGTAAGAGTATACTATTCAGAAAATGGTAAACTAAAATGCATCAAGTGTGTAAATACAGTCTGAGTTAATTGTAAAACAATACCCAATACGCGTGCTATCAGACAGAAGATGAGGGTGCAGATAACATAGGTCCAATTCCAGGAATGAGGTCCAGCCACGGTGGAAACTCCAAGAAAGATGAAAATTAAAGTCTCACTGACACTGCTCCACATTTTCAGGAAATATTTGATGGTAGTGTGAGACTTGTGGGAAATATTTGCTTCCACATAAGGTCGCATTACAACTCCTGAAGCAATAAGGCTGAAAGAAAAAAAAAATTAGATTTTTTGCATTTATCATAAAATCTTCTTAAAGTCCATTGAGGGACACAGGAATGTAGTAATTCTTAAGACATCTGGTATTATATATGCTGCCACAGAAAATGAACCGCCGGCCCCCTTTATAAACCTGTCTCCAACCATCATGACTTAGTTTTGTGAGCAAGCAGTACATAAGGCCAATAAACACAGAGCAGCAGGCCACCCGTGTCCCTCAATGGACTTTAAGAAAAATATTTGACCACAAGTACAAAAATCTAATTTTCTTTATTGTCCATTGAGTAACACAGGGATGCAGTAATTTTTAGACTATCAAAAGCAGTAAAAATAATGGGTGGGCAACACCAACAGATCTAAGATGGAACCAGAAACCATTTGTGACCACCAGAAGGGGTGAAGTTTCCAACAGGACAGGGAAGAGCTAATGATCCAGGGAAAGCCACAGAGGATTAACCTGATGCTCAGACTAGGACAAGAACTGAGTAGCTTGAAGGAAGCAGAGGCTGTGAGCCAAAGCAATTACCAAACAGGAATATAATATAATATAACTACTCGAAATGGAAGAACATCCAACAAGATTGGTCAACAAAAGGAAACACTGGTAGATTTTCCATCCTCAAAACAGATCCCTAAGGGAAACTTGAAAAACTGGTCTACAAAGATCAGCCAGTCCAAGGATGTCAAGAGGCTTAACCTTTAAAACGTTTGTCCCTAGGCATCAGGGAAGACTGCTCCAGGGAGAAATAGGGATGTCTAGGACAATCTTAAAAGGAGATAATCAAGATAGAAAACCATCTAGTATAATATCCCAAGGGCATGATCAAAGAGTTGGAGATAAACACGAAATGGAACCACTTTAAGTCAGAGAGGCTGACCAACAAAGAGGGGGAAAAAAAGGGGGTGGAACAAGTATCCACCAGCAAGAAACAGCAGGATGAGCAGAGTCGTCCACAAGGACACCTGGCGGTGTCACTAGAACCTGTCAGGGAAAAACCCCCTGCAGGGTCCGTCAACCTGACAAGAATCTAGTATAATATCCTTATATTTGTACACTTGTAGAATAATATATATACATATACACATACACAAATATAATATCCTTATATTTGTACACTTGTAGAAGTGGGACAGCACCTTCATGCTGAAGGCTCACCAGGGATGTTAGACCGTAGGTCCAGAAGCCATAGATCTGCTGAGCAGTGATATGACTCAGAAGATCTGTGAGAACACACTGCTAAGACAGAAGGATGGGGCTCCTATGACCTTTCTGCAGATCTTGTTTGCTCTGGTAGAAGTATACTATGGCTGCCTGAGGTGTTGCTACTGACAGTCAAGAGTCCAGAGCCAATCCAAAGATATAAGCTCCCTCAAAGGGAAGAGTAATCTGACGTTCACTGATATAAGATATCAGTGTCCTAAACACTTAGCCAGAGATCCCTACGCATATGTACAGACATCAATCCTATGCAAGGCACACGTTCAGAGGCTAGTAATAAACCATCACAGCTGAAGCACAAGGCTCCAGACATCTGCTCCAACCACTCCACTCCATAAAATGGGGACGTACCCCAGGACTAAAAGGACTAACTTCTAAGAAGTTTTAAACCACTCTGGCATGGTTTGACAGAGCAGAATTACCAGCAACACAGAGGATCAAACCAGTTCATGCAAACTGGGATCTAAGGAGGAAATTCAACTTCTTGAAGGCAATTAAGTCTCCAAGGTAAGTACACCTTCTACCTCACTAGTGGCATCATGCTATTGTGGATCTCTGGAGCATCCACATTAGGCACAGTCCATTGAATAGTGAAATCCTTCTCAAAAAGAAAAAGCTCTGGCACAAACTGAGGACCTCAACAGCGGATGTAAAGAAAAGGTCTGTGCAGCCACAGGAGCAATAAAAGACCTAGAGCCTATAATTGCAGGCTGATCCTCCAAATTCAGGGTGTTAAGTACTGCATCAGTAAGATTTAAAACAACCCCATGTAAATCAGTCAACTGCTGGAGACTACAGTGACCCAAACGCAGCCTCTCCTAACTGTTGGGATTCTGCATCTAAAATGATGACTGAGGCTGTAGAACTGGCCTGACTCACCGTCACGAGGGTCACAGACAGACTCTGTAGGACAAGGTATCAGAGTGTGCTTAAAAACTCTATTGATAGAATGACTCAGTAGCTGGGCACAAACAGCTAGGAAGTCCCTTGTGGACATGGGGGAGGCCACAGTTCAGCCTGGCAGAGCAGAAATAGACTCCCCAGATTTTAAACATAGCACCCAACAATACAAACTGGGGGGTAGCTCCCAGTGCTTCAACCCAACTTGCCTTGCTCACTAGGTGAGCATTCAGAGACAGGATGTGTTATAATCTCATCACACACCTAACCAGTGAAGTAAACCCCAAGTCTCCGGTGGGTGCAACAGCGCTTGCAGATGGCGCCTCAAATCAATCCATAAAGCAATATAGGGTACACTGGGACTACAAAAGTCCTAAACGTCAAATCCTCTTTATTGGCCTGACAGAAAAGGTTTCACACTGTAGAACAACGTTTCGGAACACAATCAGGTTCCTTCCTCAGGCAAAGAGTGACAACCAGTGGAACACAAATTTATACCCATAAGAGATGTGCACAAACCAATCAGAACTGTAAGTTCCAGCCCCTCTGACGTCATAATCCCACCAAAAATAACTGATACAGAAAGTACAAAGCAGCACTGGTTGTCACAATATTTGCCTGAGGAAGGAACCTGATCATGTTATGAAATGTTGTTCTACACTGTAAAACCTTTTCTGTCAGGCCAATAAAGAGGACTTGACGTTTAGTGTCAACATACCCTTTATTGCTTTATGCATTCAGAGACAGGGTTACAAAAGAGGCTGTGCAATGGCTTTGGACCAGGAAAGCACGCCGCAGCTAACAGTACACAAAAGGGCCAGTGCCGAAGGTCACTTTGCAAGTAGCCTTGCCATGTCCAAAGGCCTAGTCTCTAAGTGAGTCTTCAGGGACTAATTTAAAACTAGAGGCTGTGCCACAGCACTGGACCTGGAGAGCACTCTATAGCTAAATATACAGGATGTGAAGAAAGTGCTGCAATACGAAGCCTACTGTCCAAAAGGTCACATTCCAGGCTAGCTCCACAAGCTTCCATTTCAGCAGCATCTGGATATGGTCTCCAAACCTGTTGCTGAGGATATGGTGATCTGGATATCTGCTGACCGGATCAAGCAGAGTTCTTGAAGTTTTGACTGAAGTCCCAAAAGCGAAAATGATCTTCAGTGTACAGAGTATCTTGATTGAAGAAACAAATAAATTGAAGAAAATAATATTAAACAGGCTTTTTCTCAGCAAAGCTGAGGAAAGGGAAACCAATCTCCTAGGACACGAGCACAAAATTGAGGCATGATGGTTAGGAGGCAGGGTTATATTGGTGCTGGCCTTCAATTTTTTTTTTCCCCCCGTGTCCAGACCTCCTGTAAGTAGCAGCATATAACCCAGATATCTAAGAATTACTACACGCTTGTGTGAATTGACAATAAAGAAACAAAGTTTTCATATTGCAAATGGCAAAGAGTATGATGCTACTAAAAGCAGGTAAACAGAACACATTTTATAATATAAACAGAACATATGAAAAAAAGTAACTCACGCCATAATTCCTGAGAGATGGAAGAGCTCTGCAGACATATATGCCATGTAACTATATAGGAAAACAAACAAGGGCTCAATAACACGGATGTGGGAGGTGAAGCGGGAAGTGAAGGCTGCGATAATTCCATATACCACTCCAACAAACACCCCTCCCAGGGCAACAACAAAAAAACTCAGGAACCCCAGAGATATATCACGGAATGTGACTTGCTCGAAACCAGAAAACTCTTCAAAAAGGTGATACAAAACCTAGGGAGAAAGATACACATCAACTACTACAATAAGGTCAAACAAATGAGTGGACATTCGGAAAGATTCAATATAACATGGGTGACATACAAACATTTCACTTACATGGCAAAAAGTTCAGCAGGCTATTCATTTTTACACTTTATCTACAAAAAGCTCAGAGTTTACTTGAACTGTAAATAAGGCACAAAAGTACTTGGAACCAGCAGAGGCCAGTGTAGTGCACTCTCCTTTCACCTTAAACTCCATCCCCTCCTCCAGTATTTAAAGTGACACTAAACCAGGGAGAAAAATTTTAAAAATGCATTCAAGTACCCTAACTATTAACAAACATGTATCTTAAATTGTGTATAACTCGGCTGTAGATACTCAAATCATCTCTGAATTGGTGCGGACACTATTCTTCCTTCTGGAGGGTGACTACTTTTGTTCCCCATGGTCCCTGTGTGTGTTGTAAAGTAGCCACCACTCCAAGCTCACTCCATCAATAGACTATAATTTCATGGCAAATTAGTAAACTAAACATGAGATTGTAGTCATGAGGAGTGAGCTTGGAGCAGTGGCTACTTTACAACACACACAGGGACCAGAGGGAACAAGAGGCAGCAAGTGTGAACAAGGGGTCATTGAGGTGTGGGCATCTGAGCTGATAGATAATTGAGGTGACATGCATGGGAGCCCATTACTCACACCACCCCCTGACAGACCCCCACCAGCTACTTCACACTCCCCACTTACAGACATGCTTCCTGATCACCTCACGCCATGCTGAGACACAACTCCCCCAAGGCCTCACACCAACCCAACAGACCCCTTTCCCCTACACTCCTGTCCTGCACATACTGCTCCCATCATATCCTATACACTTGTCCTGCACATACCACCTGCTGCAATCCTCTCCTGTGCATACTGTGTTATACAATCTGCAGAACTCTTCTGCACATAGTGCCTGCAGTCAAACCCTCCACGCTCCTCTAATGCACATACTGAGCCATAATACCCTTCAAATCCCTCTTCTCCACATATAAAGTACTGTCATACCTTCCAAATTTCTATCCTGCACATACTTCCCAGTGTCATATGGTCTGCACTCCTCTACCGCACCTATTGCATGCCATCTTATCCTCCATACTCCTCTACTGCACATCCTGCCAGCCGTTCTACCGTCCACACCCCTCTCCTGAACACAATGCTTAACTTTAGAACTTCTGATCTCCTCTCCTGCACACACTACCCCTTGTAATATCCTTCTTACTTAATTCCTGTACATACTGCCCCCCACCCCCCCTTTACACTCTCCGCACTCTACTCCTGCAAATGCTGTCATACAAGAAATCATGTAAATTATTCCCAATATCCCCAACCTTTCCTGTTCTAGAACAGGCACACTTTTGCTAATGTATGTAAAGGCAAAACATTTTAGTTTTGGATGAAGTAGGGCAGGGTTAGAGAGAGTGTCTGCGTCTACATTAGATAGATGTATCACGCTGTTTGTCCTGGTGTTCACTGTCACTCAAACAGAAAGTGTGGAGAAATCTATATTTTGTCACTAGAGGTAACAAAGATGGCAATCCCCTTCATTTTCGGGAGATTTCCTCTAATTTCCTGTTGTGTTTCCAGGACAGGACGTATAGGGATACCCCCCCCCGTTATCTTCCCCACTTTATCCAAAGCAAAAGATAAGGAAAGGAAAAGGTTTTAGTGCAAAAACTAGGCAATGCGCTAATCACAGATAGAAGAGTACAAGTCATTTAATAGTGAAAAACATGGCTAAGGAACTGGATGAGAACAGGCTACCAATGCTTTATGTTCTTGCAATACCTTACTCATGCTATTCTTAACCACACAACCCTAAAAAGTAAGGTAACCAACCTGTCAGCACACCACCCGAGCTGTTTGACATTAAACATAATATTTTGTATTATTTTATGCATGTGTAATCATTTACAAATGTACTATATTCATAGTATACTATATAAATGTACTCTTCGTGACGGGAGACGTACAGTGTACGTCCTGTCACTTTGTGCCTATATGACTGGCCACGTACACTGTACGTGACGAGTTATATCAGGCTTTGTAATGCCGGTATTTGCTGATTCTCAGCATTTAACAGTCATTCATTAATGTCTCAGTATTGAGGCATTAATTAATGAAATAATTAAGCTTTTTGTAAAAGCTTCTTCCTTTCATTAATGAAAGAATGAAGCCGTTACATGCAAATAGAGGACCGCAATTTGCGATCCCGTATTTGACAGCTCAAAATAGCAGAGAGGCAGCAGTGACTCACCTCACCTCTCTGCTATTTGTTTTGACAGCTCGAGAGCCCGATGTTTGGATACATTTCACCAAAGAGATACAATGTATATCTTTTGAGTGAAATGTATCACTTCTGATCGTCTAGGCACGATCAAAGAGCTTTTAGTGAGATCTGAATCTGACTAAAGTCAGGATCAGTCTCTAAGGTTATTATTAGCTGTTCCTAAGTTTGGATCAGCCTAATAGCCAAAAATAAAATAAAAAAGTTAATTTATCAAGCTGTCATAGTGATTGCTTGATATAAACTGACAAGAAAAAAAAAGTTTTTTTTATTTTATTTTTATTTTTTTTACAAAGTGTAAAAAAATTAAAATAAAGTGTAAAACAAAATTAGGAAAATATAAATTATATATAAATATATTTTGTATACTATAATTATTAAAAAAATTATAATAATCAAAACTTGTGAAAAAAGGGTTTTCTAGTTTTTTTCCTCATTTTTTTTATTTTATTCAAATTAAGTGAGGGGTTAGGTACACATATGTGATATAATTATATAGCCCTATCTGTCCTCTAAAAAACTATATATAATATGTGTGGGTACATTTAGTAAGAAAGTATATTACTGCTGTGGAAGAATCACACAGCAAAAATGTAAAAAATGTGTCAGTCATTTATGAACAGAACCTGAAAACTAGCTCAGTCATGAAGGGGTTAAACATTGTTAATACTTTAATCATTTTGTAAAGTAATGTATATCCTACATATGCTGAATGATTCTTCTGTAATATGCCTGATTTTCTAATAAAAACCGTGAAACTGAATAAAAAAAAAAAAAAGATATGCTCCACTATATAAACACAAATACTAAAAAGAGAAAACAAGGAGCAAAGAAAATGGAACTGTTACCTGTGTCTAGCAAATTTAGTTTCTTAGTGCAAAACAGGAAATAAATATGGATCCTTTAAAGTTAACAGCACAATTTCTTTCCTTTTTTGCTCCAGTTTTTACAATTTATCTCCTTATTAATCCATTGAAAACATTTAAAACCATTAATGATTTAATTAGTTAAAAGCAAACTACTTACTACAGTGACTGCATCATTAAGCAAGGATTCCCCAAACACGAGAATGTGGAGCAGCTCGTTGATATGGATTTCTTCAAACACAGCCAGTACAGCCACCGGGTCCACAGCTGATATGATACTGCCAAACATCAAGTTGTCTAGGAGGCCTACATGTGTAAGATGGGTCCCACTAATCTGGCACACTGCAAAAAGCAGTGACCCTATGAAGAAGGCATTCCAGAGGGTGCCCACTACTGCAAAAATCAGAATAGTTCCCATGTTTTCAGAGAAAGAACGCAGGGGCAAGAAGTATCCAGCATCCAGGATAATAGGGGGCAGGAGGTACAGGAAGAAGACTTTGGAACTTAAAACTGGAGGGATTTCACCTACTGCTTTGATAAGTCCACCAACCAGAAGCCCTACAACAATCAGCAGACAGCTCTCTGGAACGACATTGGACACAGTGGGAATCACATGGAATCCTGAAAAAGAGTAAACCAAAGATATTGCATGGTCAGTACTTGGTAAAAGTAGAATTAAACTCTCAAATTTGTTTTTTTTCAATAATAAATCTGGGAAAAAAAATACCATTGCCCAGCAAAGTATTGCTTTATTTTTTTGCCCAAGCACTTGCAGTTGTTTTCATCAGGCGGCGCCAACCCTTTTAGCTCAGCTTCCCTGAACTTCCTGTCTGATAGAAGAAGATCACAACGGACAGAACAGTTTCCAGCAGCCACCCATCTATTAGTTTGGATAAAGGCGGAGGGGGTTGTGGGTAGTAGGAGAGTGACTCGCCCTGCTGTGTCTGTTGAGACACACACAGCATACTAGCACACACAAGTGGGGCTCCATAGGAACCTGCATGGGAAAGGAGCCGTCCTAAAACAAGATATCAGGGCCAGTGCTCAGGGGACCAAATGATTCTGCAGGAAACTAAAAAACTATTAAAACCTCAGGAAGCATCCACTAAGTTATTTAATCAGCATTTGAAATAGCTTAAACCCCTTTTGACTTTAATCATGTTATAACACTCAGTGTCAAATTTATAAAAACATATACATTGGAAAATTTGTTCTCCTGAAATTAAGTGTTTTTATTTTTCCGGTATGTGCTCATTGTGTGCAACTCAAGTTAAATAAATCAGATTATGGTCACTGCTACCCAGATGTTGTTTTATATGAACATCTGTAATAAGCTCTGCATTGTTTGAGATTAACAGATCCAGCAGAGAATTATTTCTAGTTGGGGCTTCAATAAACTGTACTATAAAATTGCCTTTTACTATTCCCACAGTCCCATTACACCAGTCAATGTCCGGGTAGTTAAAATTTGCCATTATTACGACTGTCCCAGCCCTTGCTTCCATTTTATATGCGTAAGGAGCAGAGTCTATAAGTGCTCATTAGAGTGGACCTTTACACTCAAATAATCAATAACAGTTGTCAACTATTCTCATTATCTATTAGTTGGTTGAATTCCCTAGCTCTCTCCTTCATGCAGGGAGGAGGGCACAGCAAGCAGTGGGCTGGTACAATTGCAATATTAGCTATTGCAATTTGAAATGGCCAATAGGCTGGGTTTGGCAGCAGCCCACTATCTGCTGTATTTACATTCAGCTGTAGAATCTTGCCACTGGCAGCAGTCATTCTCTGGCTGAAGCTATTCAAGCACCATGTGCTTACAATACATTTTTTTTTTTTTTTAAACGTATAAAAAAAAAAAAAGGTGGGAAAAAAGTATTTTTCAGTTTTGGGCTGACAAATTCAGCTGTGGGAGGTGCGTTGCAGTGCCATTCATTTCAATGGCACGCAAAACGTGCCTCCCACCCAGTGTAATCGCCCACCCTGGAACGCTTGGTACTACAATGCAGTGCAAAAAAATTGTGCATGCTGTTTTATTCCGAATTTATCTTTATTTTACTAACACTGCATTTGCGCATTTTATTTTAAATTAAGGATGGTTTTTTTTATTTTATCCGATTAAATCGAAAAAATTAAAATCGGCCAAAAAATAATAAAAATAATCATTAGTTGCAGCTCTACACTCAAATTCTACCAATGCATCCCTCCATGTACGATGATTAATAACATAAAACTAGAGCTAGTAATCTGCCCTTAGTAAACATTGCCACTGTCAGAAGGCTGGGGAAGAAAAGACAAATAAAGGTATATGCAAAGAATACAAAGCCTGCAATTATCTAGAAGTATGTGTCATTACTAAACATTTCTAAAAGGTGTGTTTGTTGATGGTTTAAAGATATGGGCAAAGGTCTGCTTTAACACTGGGAGGGCCTGTAAACAAACTCCAATAATTACTTTTGCACACCAGTATGTAACTGCACCCATAGTGCAGCACCATTACACTAACCATCAATAAAGTCCTCTCCCACACTCACTTTCAGATCACTTCTGACAGAGAGACACAGACCCCGCAACATTTTCATTTTACCCTATCTGAAAGAGCATAGCCAGAAATATTTACAGCCCAATCATGTGAAGAACACAGCCAAGATTCAGCAATACCAACTATAACCCATTTTTACAGTTTTCACTAGCAATCATTTGATCTTTTTTTGTAGTACAAATAGTACTGTAATCTCCAATGTTTGTTTGCAACATGGGAATCTCCTTATCCCCTTCCATTGCCCTACTCCCATCTTCCTCTATTCCACCGCCCATGATAGTCTGACCCCTATTTGACTTATCTGCCCCATTATATTCTAACTCATCCTCCCCTCTCAATCCTATTTTAAATGCTCCTCCAACCTTCCTAGAATTAGGTGCAGAGCATCTTTAGCATATAGGTTATACCCCAACGAAAAGTCAGTCCGGTGCTCTAGAAACCCAAATACTTCTCTCTTTAACATGCATTTAGTTCTCTAAGCTCCCACTGTCTTTCCATTGTTGCAGATGGCACAGGAGATATTACATAGATTAATACCTTGGAGGTTCTTCCCTTCAATTTGCAACCTAGGTCTTTAGATTTATTTTTAAGGATCCTCCATTTTCCATGTATTCTATTATTGGTCCCAACGTAGACCAAGACAGGTCCCAGTAATTTGTCCACCCGGTCCACCACATGCAAAATCCTGGCACCAGAGATGATCCATTCGGTTTGCGACCAACTATTCTATCAGTCCAGTTGTTTAAAATCCAATGGGTTTTTTTTTTTTGCATGTAATTTTTATTGAAAGTTTTCCAACAATACAAAACAGGGCAGAATTTGCTGCAGTCATTACAAGTTCCACATTACATGAAGCCACATAGGTTGCAAGCAAATAAACTAGAGCTGCAGCTAATGATTATTTTCAAAATCGACTAGTTAGCCGATTATTAGGTTCGATTAATCGGATCAACAATAAAATTTAATTTTAAAAAATGGCTCCAGTGATGGACTACTAGTTTGTATTGAGATTGTAGTCCATCACAGGCGCAAGCTTGGAGCGGTGGAAGTAAAAAATAAAAAAAAGTGTGGCGTGCAATATAGTGAAATGGAAAGTGTAAAATTATACAGCAATGAATGCAGAATGGCACCGACTACAGAGGACTACAAATCCCAGCAATAGTACATTATAGCTGGTGGTATTCTGCATTGCGCTATATAATGTATTATTGTTGGGATTTGTAGTCCTCAATACAGCAATGCAGAATACCACCAGCTATGTAGGAGTACAACAAGTCCCAGCAATACATTATACATACAGTGTATAATGTACTATAATGTACTATTGCTGGGATTTGTAGTCCTCTATAGCTGATGGTATAATATACAGTACAGCACAATGTACCATCAGCTATAGAGGACTACAAATCCTAGCAATACATTATAGAGCACTCCTCCTTACTACATCTCCCAGCTTCCCTGTGCCGATCATGGAAATAGAGGCGGGCGGTGAGTGTGAGGCGGGGGAGGAGGTGCGGCGTGGATGCGGGCCTGGCAGCGGCGAGCGTGAGGTGGGGGAGGAGGTGCCGCGCGCAGCGTGTGTGGAGCCGTGAACTGGGCCAACTGATCGGAAGCCGATTAATCGATTATTGAAAAAGTTGACAACTTTTTCAATAATCGATTATGTCGATTAGTTGTTGCAGCCCTAAAATAAACAAAATAGTAAAAAATCCTGACTGGCCGGGAAGCCAGCTCCATGCTCCCTGGCATCAGCGAACAGCTTCTGATACAAGCGATCGAGCGTCTCTCGAGACCCTCGATCACTTGACTGTAAAGCTCCCGGCCGGCTGCGTAATTTCAACGGCCGGCCGGGAAGCTGCTCGTCGGGCTCTCCACCGTCTGCTCGTCAGACGAGTGGATTTTTCGAGCCCTGTATATATATATATATATCATTAAAAAGTGCCCAATTGCTACCCTTTCCACACTACAGCATTGTGTCCAGCTTGCTCTTCCACTCTTCCATCTAGTGCTGTACTCCAAAACTCAGCGGCACTTAGACGTCATTACATAAGCATTGTATATGCCAGGAGTAAAGACTCCTCCCTGCTGCCGAAAAAAAGAAGAGGAAGGACCCATGAAATCCCTGAAAAGGTCAAGAGGACTGCAGAAAGATGTATAGGGAGTTTCGTTTAAAAAAAAACCAAAAAAAAAAAACCTATATAAAACGAATATAAAAACATTCCATTTTGCTTTTCTGTTCTTTTAACAGTGTCGTTTTTTTGTTTTTATTTCAAGCTATCACTAAAAGGTTTGCTACATAATACTTAAAAGAAACAAATATTTAAAAAATATTTTTTTTTATTAATATGCTATTATATATAAATTAATACTGTTCTGTTAAATAACAGTCGTCTTAGCAGAACAAATACTGTTAAGACTACCACACCCTGTACAATCTCCTTTACATCTTCCTATGTAATACATGGGCCTGCCTAATTCAACTCAAATTGAATGGACTGTTTAGCTGGTCCTCATATTACACAGTTTTCATAAATCTAAGCCAACCTTAGTGCTTTTGGGGGCACAGTAAAAATAACAATACAACATATTTTTAAAATAACTCTTCATGCCAATACCAACAGATGCAGCAGTACAACTATGTATGTTACAGGTAACATGCACCAGACATACAGTTTTAGCTGCTTCTAATCCATACTGCAATACTGTCACAGATCAATGAAGTACCAAGTTCACCCTGATGTTACACAAACCTTTTACAAACATAGGTAGGGTAAATACCATCCTGTACCATGTACATACTGTTTAACCAGCTTCCATACAGCTAGCCTTATCCCGTAATTGGATCTACAGGGCGGCACAGTGGTTAGCGCTTCTGCCCTGCAGCACTGGGGGTCCCTGGTTCGAATCCCAGCCCGGTCACTGTCTGCAAGGAGTTCTGCCTGTGCTTGCGTGGGTTCCTCTGGATACTCCGGTTTCCTCCCACACTCCAAAGACATGCTGGTAGATTAATTGGCCCTCTATGTGTGCATGCGAGATAGGGACCTTAAAGATTGTAAGCTCCTTGAGGGCAGGGACTGAT